CTTCAGAGGTTTCCGATAGTATAAATAGGATTAATCAGGACTTGGAGCGCATTGCACAGTGGTCTAAAGTGAACTCGCTTATTCTCAATCCAGCTAAAACAAAATTTATGATATTAGGATCTGGATACCAAATTAAGAAAATAACTGACAGTCAACCCAGAATATTATTGGAAGGAGAAATCATTCAGCAGGTAGAAGAGGCTCGCAATCTTGGCCTTAAAATAGACGGCATGTTGCAATTTGAGAGTTATGTTTTAGATGTGGTGCGTTCTTGTTTTTATAGGTTAAAGGTACTTTACAAGATACGTGATTACCTAAGTTTGAATTTAAGAGTAACCCTTTGTGAAACTCTCATCTTGTCTAAACTAAATTACTGCATTTCGGCCTACGGACCCTGTCTCTTAGCGAAAACAATGAAGCTCCTTCAGCGAGTACAAAATGCATGTGCTCGTTTTTGCTTTAATATCCCTCCGAGAGCACATGTTTCTCCTTATTTGGAAAATAGCAAACTGCTTAACATGTCATCAAGGCTCAAATTGCACTTTGCTACTTTACTATTTGGAGTAATTAAAAACAAAACTCCCGAATATTTATATGAAAAGCTTACCTGGTCCAGTGAACATAACTTTCACTGTACTCGTGGCGCTAAGTTTTTACTTACTGTTCCAGGACACGTCACGGCTGCTTTTCGCGGCAATTTTCGCTACCTAGCAACAAAGTGTTGGAATAATCTCCCACCCCCCTTTCGTGAAATTCAATCCAAGGTTAATTTCAAAATGCGATATAAATTGTACCTTCTAGATAACAAAGAAAATACAAAGTAACAATACAAAGACTGGTTGTTGATACACTAGGTAGGTGGTTTGCGTTATTATTATTTTACTTTAATTTTTGATGGTTCCCTATGTTCTAAAGAATAAAGTACGTAATGAAATTCAATTTCTATTATATTATAATTGAAATTGAAATAGATGACCGTAGTGACTTATTCTCTTTGTAGATGACATGTACAAGCAGTTGTTGTTGTTGTTTTTGTTATTCGCTCGTGAGAGCAGGCAAAGGAACTATGCCATACAGCCTTGTCTTTGTGTATAATTATCCTTCGTAATTCACTGCTTCAAAACATGTTGATGCGTCACATGGTGCAGCCCTTGGGAGATTCTGATGGCAACTTGAGCCAGCAGGCAGCAGACAATTGGCGATGGTATCCAAAGATGCCTATGCAAACAGCTTATCTTGAGAATCCATCTCCATCAGAGCACTTGTTTCACAGCTTCCACTAATAGTTCACATGCGCAGACACTTAATACACAAAATCGCATATTGGTCAATGATGTACACCATTGTCCAGGAATTAGCTCTATAACATAGTATAAATATTTTTAATTTATTATTATTATTCCTTTCATTATTCTATTATATACTATTGCCAACATAGTTAAAAGTAATATATTTATCTATTTATTTTTCATTATTTATCGTTTTTCAGAATATTATCTTTATATTATATTACATAAACATATACATTTAAAATATCTTTAGTTTTTTTTTGCATTAAATCTGTCTGACAGCTGCTCGTATGTTTTAGATTAGTGGTCCCGACAGAATAACAGCGCTGCGGCTCTTTGCTGTAGCATAATGCTGAGTCGGGTCCTTTTTCGTTGCTGCAATCCAACATAAATTTAAATACTTTTTATAAATACTTTTTACTATTAATTGTTTATTTTTTGTGTTGAGTTAATTGTTTGTTTATTTTTTATGTGTTTGTATTAGCGTAGCAACGAATAAAGTTATTTTCTTTCTTTTCTTTCTTTCTTTCAAAATGTTATAGAACTTAAAATAAAATTAAATAGATGTGTCAGAGGGCTTACTAGGTAAGTACCAGCTATTTTTATTGCCTCGTTTGTTATTCTGTCCGGTCCTGGACTCTTCTCTAATTTTAACATTTTTATTCCCATTGTAATTTCTGATTCATCCACTGGGTTTATATCTATATCTTTGTCATCATTTTCCGGTTCAGTTTGGTCTATGTCTAGGCATTCTGGGGCACTGTACAAGTTTTTATAAAAGTTAGTTGCTATGTTTAAGATTTCTCTTCTGTCATGCGTTGTTCTTTGAGGATTGTTGAGTCCTTCTATCCATGTTTTATGAGATCGCAGTTCCTTATACGCTTTCTTAATACTTCCTGTTGAGTTAAGATGTTTTTTGATAGCATGTTTTCGATGGTTTGAGTAGTCTTTTCGAACATATTTGCTAACTAGCTTGTACAGCGCTTTTAATTCATTTTTCATAGCTCGCGTCTTTGGTTTTATTTTTTGTAGAGCACTTCTACGCTGTATTAATTTTGTAGTATCAGTTGATAACACGCTGCTTCTTTCTTTATCTTTATCTTTTACGAGAGCTTTCTTCAAACTGGTTTCTACAATGTTAATTATGTTATCATAGCATTCTTGTACAGAGTTAATTTCTAGGCAGTTCATAAGGTCTTCATTGCATTCGTTGAGTGATTGTTCATATCTCGATCTTTCTTTTAGATCATAGATTACTGTTTTTTTATTAACTGGCTTTACGGCTCTGGGTTCTAGCTCTTCTGAGCCATCATTTCATTTCTTTCGGAATCATCATTTTATATTCTTTTTCTTCACAATATGCTGATGCGTCACATTGCGAAGTCCTTGGGAGATATTGACGACAGCTCAACCTAGCGGACTGTTGATGACGACAGCCACTCAAGTTCATAAAGCGCCCAAGCGATCAAAATAACGAGGTTTATATTGACATCAAAGCATTTTTTTGTTGTTTTCTCTAATAGTTCACACGCGCGGACACAAAATCGCATTACTTTTATGAATCAAAATCCACTTTAAACCATTATTCAAGCGACAAAACCGGAGCGACAATTCGTCTACGGCCAAGTTCCCGCCAAAACTCTTCTAGATTACCGTATATATCTGAGATCATGGAGATTAGAAAAGAGAAGAACGATCGCTACGTAGTACGTCTAAAGCATAGCCCACCTATCCTTGAAAATTTGTAGAATTTATAGCGGCACTGCCGTCGGTGAATAATGACTGCGAAGTATAGCTGTTTATGTGTATGACTTAGATGAAGTTAGTTAAATAATGTACAAATTTTCTTCGCGGCATTGGTGAGATAATTTTCATGTTCCGTAATTTTGTAATTTTTGACAAAAGGAAACATAAAAAAATGGAGAAATATTTTATTGTGTGTGGATGTGCAAGTGGCTTAGCATCTGATCGGAAAAATAGACTGAAAATGACTTTTATTAAGCGAACTTAGCGATCGCAGCGTCTCACTTATGGTGTCCATACCTCTGGAACACTATTTTCTACGGTGATCGTTCTCCTGTTTTCCAACCTCCATGGAGTAGACTGAGATATTCAACGTCCAGATGTCATAGTTAAACGCGGTATGAACTTGTAGTATCTTGAAGTCTTGTCGTTGTATGCTCGGCTTGGAATTTTATTTTATTAATTATAGGATCCCAAGCAGATTGTAGCACCCCGCCATCTTCTCTAATGAAATTAGTATGTTATTTGATTTCAATAGCCTCGCGACATCCTTGGAAAGAATCGGTGTTCTATAGCGAGGATTTGCGGTCTATCATCTGATGTGGTAATGGGGGTGATCATGTATGTGTTCACATTCTGTAATCTATGGCACCTACGGTTAACTATCGTAGTTAACCGTAGGTGCCATAGATTACAGTATCTGGACGTTGAACACCTCAGTCCCTCCCGTGAACATGGGTGCTGTAAAGTGCTCAAAACGTCGGGTATATAAAAAAGTTATATACGCGATCACAGAATACTATAATATATACATAATGATTTTGATTTTTAAATTATGAAATTTTGGCTCTACAATTAATTTGGAAATAAATTCTGTCGGCAGTCTTCAATGACTGCCAATTTTTTTTATAGAACATGGATAAAAAACGAGCACACAGTTCACCTAAAGGTAAGTGAAAGCTGTGGCCAATGGATATCTAAATCTATCCTAGATTAAGATTCAATATGCTGATTCGTTGTCAGTTATTTAGTAGTAGTGACAAGTGGAAAGTTTCGATAATCAATTGTTTTTCTCACTTCAATTTACATTGAAAAATAAATAAATTTCAGTATAGCTTCTGATTTTTTTTGATCAAGAAGCAGAAAATTACCGACGGTGTAACCAAAGTAGACAGTAAAAGTGAGTAAATATACAATTATACGTAATAACGTCCGTCTGCTGGGCAGAGAGTGCCACAGCCACACTACACCTATGTGCGTTGTGAAGTCCTCTCATGTCTTAAAAATATTTTAAATATTTACGATTGGAAGTTTTTGACAGAAAATCAGCACCGATTTTTTATTATAATGAATTTTATTTATTTTTTATTATAAAATTAAGACACCTAATGGACAGATTTGGTTAGAAAATATAGTCACTTGTTGTATAATGGTCGTAATTAATTATGTATTTTAATAATATATAAAATAAAAGTGAATTTTAATGTAACGTAACACAAAATTAAAATTACACACTTAAAATATTTTACTTAAATTATTTACAAATATATAATATCGTTGACTGTTAAATGTTATTTATGGCAGTTTATGGCAGTGAAAAATCTTATGATAAGTACTCGTTCACAGTGTTTATTCACAATTTAGTGTGATTGATATAAATGAAAACTTTAAAGAGTTGCGACTTCAAATGTATTTAAATTTTGTATATTTTATTGTAATAATCACAAATCAATCTTCAAGCAACTGCAAGAACTTTTTATAGGATATTCTAATTTCAGTCTTTAGTCAATCTGGCGTCGCAATGTTTTAATTACCTAAATATTTATAAATTAATTTAACGCAAACATTATTTATAAAATTATCTTACACTATTTCACACACACACATATATATATATATATATATATATATATATATATATATATATATATATATATATATATATATATATATATATATATATACCTCTTAAGCATGATTTGAATCGAGTGGATAATAGAGCCATTTGAATTCATAGCCTTTAAGTCCATATTTTGCGTCTTTTTCTGTTTCCGGTTTAGGAACATCGTCCGATAATAAATCGAGAACTTCTTGTGTAATTTTGGGACGGAAACCATGTTCATCAGCAACGTAATCGATTCTGGTTCTGATTCCATTCCGTCCAGTAACATAATAATAACCTTGTTTTGCCCCATTCGTATAACCTTCTTCGAAGTGTCCATGGAATCCTACGGTGTAATTAAACGTATATAGAAGTTGAGTCATATCGTCCTTAGTTAAACCTTCAGGCAATCCTTCTTTCTCGCCGGGGCGTTTGTAATAGATGTCAGTATTTTTATCAACTATTTGCATCTGAGCTGATATCAGTAGCGGTTTCTTGGGTAAGGAGTTTTCTTGGGTTGATTCAAATGAATTGGTTGCGGTGTTTTCCGTAAAGTATTGTTGTTGGTGTTGCTGTCTCAGCTGTTGTTGTGACTGCTCGTCATATGATTTAGGATTTCGGTTTATTCCTGATTTCAAAGTTTGACCTTGGTATTGGTTACTTATAAGTGATTGAGGATTAGTCAATTCAAGATTGTCTCCTTGTTGTGAATAATTATGCTGTTCTTTATTTTGTGGTGCAACACCAGTGATTGCTTGATAATTATGTCCATTGTTTGAACTTCCTTGTTGACTTTGTTGAGGATATTTTCCGCCTGAATTTTGATCTAATTGTGGATAATTCTGTGACAATTCAGCATCTTGCTTTAGAGGATAATTTTGTTCGTTGCCAAATTGTTGCGAAATGCCGTGAGGGCTACCAAAGACATTTTGTTGAGGCTCTTGAGAAATCGCTGGTTTTATACCACTATTTGAAATAAATGGTGCTTGAGTAGTAGTTGTAGTAGTGGGAATGCTACAATGTGAACAAGATTTTGCGAGGGACGCTGGACCCGGCTTTTGTGATTCTTGACGAGATGTGTTCAAAACTGGTGCCGCTGCGTTCGTTGACACTTGCTGTGAAGGTGGGAATTGAAGTGATCGCCCTTTTTCTGCACCAGTTCTAGCAGTTGGATCTGTATTTAAAATAAAATATAATTATTTAACGTTACGTGTGTGTCTGTGGTGTATGATAAGAAGAATATACTAAATACTTCTTCGTATATCATCGATATGTGGCGTGCAAATTATTGAACGAAAGTCTGTTGACCAGTTGATACCGCAATAAGAACAAAACTCAAATCACAGAGGTTTGAACTCTGCCCGTCAGTCCAGCGAGGTAAGTATAGTTAACTCCTGCAAGTCGTTTATGTAGTAGTAAACTTATAATATCATTAAATTGCATTGTATTTTTCGAGAGTCACTACGAATAGTCTTGCACGCAGAATCTAAAACTTCCAGCCTCCCGAATAAGCTGGCTTCCAAAAAGGCTTTAGTACTATAGACATCAGACATTGTCAAATGGAACAGAACATCGAAGACTACAATCTATCACTTTGCCTTGGGTATGTGGAGAAGTATTTGATTCCGTCATCTGTCGGTATATAGAAGTACTCGAGTGTTTAAATTGTAAGATTACGATGGTCATCCGAGTACCGAACCAGACTATGAAACCTTGGAAGCATTGGAAGATGTTTTCAAGCTACTGGACCAAGAGGGGATACGGTATTAATATCAATGGCGAGTACATCATTCACCTTCGATTTGCCGACGATATAGTCACGACATATAGTTACGACCCATCTTTTCATTAGGTATACGTCAAAACTTGAAAATAAGATTGCACAACCAGTGCGTCTTGCCAGTGATGACATATGGATCTATGATGCGGTCCTTCACTGCTTGCTTTAAAAAACGACAACCGATGGCTGGAAAGGTTTTAAAGTGGCAGCATCGAACCTGTAGGCGCGCGGCCCCCCACTAGATGGGTAGGCGATGCATGTAGGTGGCTGAGAACCATGCTTGCATGCATTCCTAAAGGGATGATCAGCAGTGGTCTTGTGAAGGGCTGTAATGATAATGATTAAATTGCAAGTACAGTGGCCGCCGTAATAAAGAACGTTTCCTTACTTTGTAATAATTATTCCAGTATAAGATTCAATCACTAAAACAATAATTATAGTTTAATTATAGTTCTGGATAATGTATTTGTATATGATTTGAATAAGTATTTAAAATAAGTATAGAACAATCGACGAGTTGCGCAAGCGCGCGAACAGGCCGGTTTCCGTATAGCTCTGGGGTAGCTTAGTACGATTGCAATTCGTTCGGAAATCGTTCGGGGATCTTACCAGCAGTCAATAGAGAAGAATGTGGACTAGTGAAGAAAGCCTTTGATTACGTCAGAAGTTTGAAGAGCGGTGTTACATTCCCAATTCACGTGCCTTTGAGTGGTATATCGAAGTGTTGAATGTTAGTACCGATCTAGGGCCTTTGCAATGGTCCTTTTCAGGATCCGAGGACAAACCTGAGTTGAAACCTTTCCAACTGCAGAGAGGTGTAAGACAGGATGATGTTATATCCCCGAAACTCTTCACCGCTGCGTTGGAAGACGTTTTCAAGCTACTGGACTGGAAAGGATACGGTATTAACATCAATGGCGAGTACATCACTCACCTTCGATTTGCCGACGATATAGTCCTTATGGCAGAATCGCTTGAGGACCTTAGCACTATGCTCAATGACCTCAATGGTGTCTCCCAACGGATAGGTCTTAAGATGAACATGGACAAAACAAAGATCATGTTTCTGTCCATGTCACACCTATGCCGGTAGTTGTTGGGAGCACTATACTCAAAGTTGTTGACGAGTACGTTTACCTGGAACAAATAGTCCGATTAGGTAAGTCCAACTTCGACCGAGAGGTCAATCGACGGATTCAACTCGGCTGGGCAGCTTTCGGGGAAATTACGACACATCTTCTCGTCAGGTATACCTCAATCTCTGAAAACTAAAGTGTATAACCAGTGCATGTTGCCAGTGATGACTTACGGATCTGAGACGTGGTCCTTCACTGCTGGCCGTATGAGGACGCTCAAGGTCGCTCAGCAAGCTATGGAGAGGGCTATGCTCGGAGTTTCTCTGCGTAATAGACTCAGAAATGAGGATATCCGCAGTAAAACCAGAGTGACCGACATAGCCCAACGGATTAGTAAGCTGAAGTGGCAATGGGCCGGCCATATAGCTCGAAGAACCGATAACCGATGGGGAAGAAAGGTTCTCGAGTGGCAACCTCGTACCGGTAGGCGTAGTGTAGAGCGACCCCCCACTAGATGGAGTGACGACCTGGTAAGACATGCAGGAAGTCGATGGATGCAGGTAACTCAGGACCGTGCTTTGTGGCATTACTTGTGGGAGGCCTTGGTTTAGCAGTGGACTTGTGAAGGGCTGTAATGATGATGATGATGATGTATGTATTTGTACATTGTAAAGTAAGTAATAATTTTTACGCTTCTTTTTTAAACATTAAAATCTAATTCAATATTTCGTTTTGGGTTAACATTATACACTAAATATACGAATTTCAGTTCCAAAACTCATCTTACTTACGAGCTAAAGATCCGTGGCATACGAACAAACAGACAGACAGCAGAGACCCTTCGGGTACGGAACTCTAATAAGGAAAATTAATGAATGAAATCAGAAAATGAATGAATTACGCCTCATAATATTTAGTGGAATTTTTGTAATGAGTAACAGAGGTAGTTTTCTATCTAACTCTTTATCCTGTTATCCTTGATATGTGTGATACATTCGTCATATTATTTTTATAATTCTATAAATGTCCATAAGAAATGATAGGATGATCTCATGATGTCAGCATTGATATTGAAACCTTGTATAAAAACATTCGGATCGTTTTAACTCACATGGCTTTACTCGAATATTTTTCATTGACAAAATCTTAAAACCTCCGTTTTCATCGGTGGCATAAACTGTAACGTGATAGACACCATCCGCAGTAATAAAGCCGAATTCGCCCATAATGATTCCATTCTCATCTGAAATAAACAGGAAAAAAATTAATCATATATAATAATAATAAGCCTGTTACTGTACTATACTGTACTGTACCTACCTTATAACATATTGCATGAGAAAACAAGGACATTTGCTAAAGAAGATTTACGCGGAAGTAATCAATGATTCTTAAAATGATGCAACCAAATATGTATTTGTATAGTAGTTGATGAAAAATGTGAATGTAATTTAAGTCCAAAGTTATTTGTCGATCAACCACACTTTTTTGATAATTATCCAATGATGTCAATATTTATATAATCTATCGTATTAGTTTTATCTAAGCAATTTAGTGGATTTCATGATCAAAGTAAATATAAGATTCATCGTAAAACATAAGCGCGTTAAATTTGTAAATTGCAATGACTCGTTTGTATGTTATACTGAATAATAGTTTAAAATTCACTGTGTTTTAAGTATGTTTAATATTTAAACAATACACCGTAATTATGCATTGAATTGAAAAATAGGCGTAAGGTTTCTTTTATAAAAATATACACAATACTTTTTATTATATGGATATTAAAACTTACGTTAGTATAAAGCAATAAAATATGTTAAGAGATAAAAATAAAAATAAGATAAAGATTTTTATTAACGTAAGTTTTATTACTTTTTTACGTTTGTTGTTCACCGTGTAATACCGCTAATACTTCAGTATTAGCTTATATTTGTAACATTGAAACAATGGTCATTCCGCGTAATTCTCAGATGTCAATTTGCTCTCGTAATTAAAATATTACGACACATCTTCTCGTCAGGTATACCTCAAAACCTGTACTACCAGTGCGTGTTGCCAGTGATGACCTACGGAACCGAGACGTGATCCTTCACTGCTGGCCGTACGAGGAAGCTCAAAGTCGCTAAGCGAGCTATGAAGAGGGCTATGCTCGGAGTTTCTCTGCGTGATAAACTTAGAAATGAGGATATCCGCAGAGGATATCCGCAGAAGAACTAGAGTGACCGACATAGACCAACGGATTAGTAAGCTGAAGTGGCAATGGGCCAGCCATATAGCTCGAAGAACCGACAACCGTCGGGGAAAACAGGTTCTCGAGTGGCAGCCTCGTACCGGTAGGCGAAGTGTAGGGCGACTGGATGGAGTGACGACCTGCTAAGACAGGCTTTGTGGCATACCTTGGGGGAGGCCTATGTTCAGCAGTGGGCTTGTGAAGGGCTGTAATGATGATGATGATGAATCTTTTCTATGCATCGAAAAAAAAAAGAAGAATAGTGGCTTCTATTATAATAGCATAAATATAATTATTATAATTATTTGATACAGAGACCGTGTCTTCATTTTAAACAAAAAATATCAGAAAATTTTTAAGCCCAAACGTTACATGAAAAGTATAAATATTTACAACCACATATCGTCTGGGTGTTTTAAGAAATGTCAGAGGGAATGAACCTTAATATGAGCAGCAGCCTCTTACTCAACTATAAAATATAAAAACTGTAACGGCAAATATCATCCTTGTGAGGGAATATATGTTTAGGCCTATGTTCAGTCGTGGGCTTTGATAAGTAATCAATGAATGAATGAATTTAATAAATTAATTTATTTTATACCTTTCTTTTCATGACGATGCTGTTCTCCGTCTATAGTGAATCCGAACTCGTACGGTCTGTTTTCATCCGTATATTTGTCAGCACATTTCACTTGGAGCATACATATTGTTAAACATACAATAAAAGTAAACTTTTTCTGTTCAATCATCTGAAAAATCAATCAAATAAATATATTACTTTCACGATAAGTCATAAATCAATCCAAAGTATGCTGTTATTTCAATAAGTTTTAGTAAAAATGTCGTGTATGAATAAAATTATGATAAATTTTGTTTAATACGCATCGAAATGAAGTCTCAAATATTGTTTCATATATAATTTATAAGCTTTAAAAAATTGAAGTAAACTGTAAGGCAATAAAAATGCCAATTCGTAGTTATTAAACATATAAATATCTCTATATTGGTTAAGCTTAAATATAACTTGTGACGTACAACCGGATATGTGTAGTGATTATAATTTGCTAAACCGATTTAAACGAACTAGCCGTCAAATCAATATTTTATCAAAATGTTTTTATATCTTATCTAAAGAGATTCTCGTTTTGAGAAAATATTGTTTATTTTACGAGCGTATTACAACAGTAATAAATGAATCTTAATTAACATTTACTACTGAGGTATTAATTAATTTTACGTCATTTGTTAAATATTGTACATTTACGTTACTTGTATATTAATAATTTTTTACATAATTATTATTAAAATGGATTGCCAAATGAGTTTTTTATTTAAATAATATACCTGTATTTCAACCGACGTCTAAAAACAGGAGGTTCTCATTTAGATCGTGTGTTTTTATGTTTAAACATAAAAACACACGAGCTTAAAGTTATGAGAATATAACATTATAAAAAGTTTGATTAATTTCATCATTTCATTTTTATTTTCATTCATCGTAGTTTGTAACAGCCAGAAATACAGCTGAATTTATGCTTCTGCTTGTATGTAAGAATTATCGCAAACGCTACGGCAGTCAAACGGAGTGAATCAAGCGTTTAGCATTATGGTGACCTACCACGTGGCCTAGTGGTTGAAGCCAGGTAGGCTACGCAACGTCTGTTCAAATTTTATTCAAAGCCAACAATGCAGGGAAGACTAAATTGTTGGTAATTCATTCTAGTTATGTGTTGATATGTGAGAGTCTTCTTGTCAATGACGCTGCATCTTCGTGTAGCTCTTATTTTATCGTACAAGTATCATTATTATAACCACCCATCCATAATTACCAAACGCATGAAGGAAATGCTTTTTATATGATGGTTCATCCATCAACTGTGGTGACTGTGGGAGTTATGAGAGATGTCCATTGGGACCTATGGTTTCCGAATGATGGTATAATCACCCAGTATACACCAGCGACAAAGGCGCGTTATGCGTGGTGATTATAGCTACTCCTCCTCCAGGTTCTCCCAACCTATGTCTGGCGGTAGACTTTATGATGAAAAAGACATAAAAAATAGTCACAAAAAGTTTGCAGTGAAACAACCAACGATATTAGGCGTTTGATTCACAAAATATAAAATTAAAAAAAAATCATTTAATATTGATACAATTTTTTTTAAATATTTTCTTTCTTCAGTTAATAAGAAGTCATTTTACTTCTTATAAACTTCAAATATTCAACAAACTGAAAACATGAAATGTGATATTGTAATAACGATAGATTACCACTTACATTATTATTATTTTATTATAGTGAAAGTAACTTCAATATTATATTTAAAAAGTTTCCCAGATTGTTTACTTTAATACGGTAAGAACAAAGATTATTATTTATGTTCATAGTTTGTAAGAACACAAAACATGTATTATATTACCTAAGAAAAATATTTTAAAGAAATAAAACTACACTATTACATATTGTTGCATTGACGTTTTCGTCTTAAATTTTGTATTCAAGGACAATAATTGCCGGTACAAGAATTATAAAAAATAACTTAGCATAACATCGATATTCAATTTAACTTTATGATATTTTTTGGTTGAATCTATTGTAAATATTTTTTCTCAAATCGTTTACCTAATACATGCTCTTGCTTACGTATAATATGTAGGTACATTCAAAAGTAAAAATGCAATTTACAAACAATTGCTTTAACATTAAAAAAATAATTATTTTCTATTTCACAAAGAGATTTCATATTGAAAAATAAAAAGTTAAAGAGATTATTTCACTAAAGTGTTGCTTGCACTATTATTATCGAACGCATTAAAATAAAATAAATGTAAGTTCAAAAGTTGATTTTATAAAACAAAATAAAAATAACTGTAAGTGGTAATGTCGATTTTATAAAATATTGTTTTTAATTTAAGTGTAAAAATATCGATGAATGTATGTAAAAGGGCAACTAATGGAAAAATATCAATAAAATTTTTATGTAATAATTTACCTTATTGTATATATTTACGCCTGCGTGTGAAGGCGTGGGCGTCTGTGCGGCCTGTTGCGCAAGAGTTCACACGAGACTGTGCTGATTCTTTGCTCTACGTAATTTATTAACACGTCTAAAGCATGACTTCATAGAAAGATCTTGAGATAATCAGAAGGGATATGCTATTGATTTATATTTTTAAAGAAATTCAAATGAATAAAAAAATCTCTATTATTACGTACAGCTTAGACTACAAAGAAAATAAGTAAATGCCGTGACATTGTCCTACATCGTTTTATAATTTCGATTTCACAAACGAGAGTGACCACACTTTTAGAAGACTGTCGCAGCGTTCTCTCTACGAATGAAATGGTCAAGGTGCAGAAGTTGTTACTCATGTACGCCGATGTTTTCTCTAGACATGTGTCAATCATTCATTTCTAGTGACCGAATCATTCTAGTAAATTTCGTCACGCGTACCGGTACATTCGAATCGATCATTCAAATAGATCATTTCGGGCTCCAGTACTCTGTGGGTCTGTGAGATCCATTGGGAACTGAAAATTTTCTATTTGAGATCGCTAATAGTGCTATCTACTACATGCTATAGGTAATAATGTCATTTTATCGAACTAAAACTTATTGACTTTCAAGGTGTAAGTACAATCGACGCTAGATGGCATAAACACAAAAACCGCAAGTGATTCAATTGATTTGATTTTGATTGATAACTTTATTCATTATTGTTATATATTTTAAATATTTAATAATTTTTTTTAAATTTCATTCCTAACATTACGCAATTTTATCTTACTTTACGTGTCTAAAATAAGGATTGTAACATTTATTTGCTACAAAGTGAAACTTTTATCTTATACTTATATAAGGTGGTTGAAAATTATCATATTAAATAGTGCGTTGGGATAATACCGGACGATTTTCGACTAGTTAAAAGAGTCGGGCAAAAACTTTATTTTCTCGACATCCATATACGTCAGATTTCTGAAACATGGCGCAAATCGTCAATAGTTACACGTAATTTATAAGAAGCTTTTACTTTTCGAAACTCAACAGTTTCTGCTTAAAACGTGTGCGAAGACAAGGCATAATTTTTTATATGCATGATGAAGAATTGGTCATCAAGGGGTAAGACCGGACGTCGCTAAAAAACGCAAATAAAAGTTATAAGGAAAGACCGGACGGACGAAAAAAATACAAAACCTTGTTTTATAAAATACTGCGCAGCACACGCCCTACTTTTCGGAGCGACTATAGTCCGTTCGCCTTAAGAAAATAGTGAGTCTCGTTGTCCGCCGGCCTGGTCACTCCCCCCAGCCAATTAAAATGCAAGAAATTAGAAAGTCGAGTTCATAGTGACCAGTTGTAGTCAGGCCTTCGAACAAAACGGTTGTGTATTTTGCGTGTTACTCGTTCAACATTAAATTTTTAAAATTAATACCTCACCTATTCGAAGGAATAAAAGTGGATCAATAATCCATAGCGGAGAGAGACGCGTAATTTACAATGTTTATAAGTACTTTAAACTGTGTGATTTAAATGTGACTGGAGAGTACAGTAATAAAAACAGCAAGTGCATGTGGTGTGTCCGAAAATACTGTTTATAAAATTATTAAAGAACAAAAGGATACTAACACATTAAAATCAGGGGTTGGGGCAGAATAAAATGGAGTCTTGTACCATATTGCTAGTTTTCAAATATATAGCATAATTCACCGGGAATTTAAATTTTACAATCTTACCCCATCACCGATCTTACCCCAATGCACTATAAACCATTTGCCATGAATTCTTTTAAAGTGTTACATTTGGTAAACTCCACGAACTTTTAACTAATAGATGTAGCAAATAAATATAATAAAATGTAAAATACATTTTAATTTAGGTAACAATATTATAATAAAAAACCCTTAAATAATAAATACTCCTGATACTCTGCAGTCTGGATTGTTTATTCGATTCGCTTGTTTATTCAGATAATTCGGGATTCGGTCGGTTTTTGGTTCATCTAGTGTTTGTGATTGGTTGTATCGGTACATTCAAATACAAATGAATGAACCATCAATACTTTTAAGTGTACGAGCTCAAACGAACGAATCATGCATGATTGACACATGTCAAGTTTTCTCGTCGAACGATACTGACATAGAAAAGACTGGCTTAGTTCAATACAAAATAAACACAGGAAAATAATTGCCTATCCGTCAGCGGCTAAGAAGGTTTGTCAGTGGCACGTGAAAAGGAAGTGGAAACACATGATTGAGGGAATGGTGAAGGTTGGTGTTATTGAACCTTCATCTAGTCCATGATATTTACCGGTGGTGTTACGAAGAAGCTATCCCTTGCCAAGAATTGATGACACTCTGGACATGCTTACAGGACTAAAGTGGTTTGGCACTCTGAACCTGAAAAGTGACTACTGGCAAGTTGAGAGTGACCAAAAACAGTAAAAAAAGAGGGGGGGAAACCAAAAAAAAAAAAGGTATGTGGAAAAATTTGCAATGCTCCAGCAACGTTTGAAAGGTTGATGTAACTTGTACTTACTTACTTGTCTACTTGGATGACATCATCATTGCACGCAAACATGCGTTTGAGGAACACCTTCAAAACCTGAAACGCGTGCTCATGAAGATCCAGAGTGCCAACCTCAAGTTGAGTCTGAATAAATGTTAACTATTCAAACGGAAAGTTAGCTTATTGAGGTATGTAGTGCCGGAATGAGGTATTCGCATGGATTGGGAGAAAATCACTGCAGTCAAGGATTGGCCGGTTCCAAATGACTAGATGCAGGTTAGAGCATTTTTGAGTTTGTGCTCTTATTATCGGCGATTTGTGAAGAACTTTGAAAATATAACCAAACCTCTGCACGAGATAAGGAGGAGGAGAAGCGACATTTCTGCTGAGATGAAAGTTGTGATATCGCATTCCAGGAGCTTAAGGACCGTCTGTGCAAGAGTAAGAAAGTGGTATCTGTGAGGATGCTCAGGACAGACCACCTTAGCAACAAGTGGAAGGACAGACTACAACATGCACAACAGGAGATTCGGACAGCAGGCCAATTCTGGAATGGATGAAGGCCATTGCTCCCAAGCTTTAGTAGAGCGACTTCTCAGCAATTAAATAATACTAGTTTTTACGGATTTTTATCGCGTATATTTAACTATAAATACCCGACGTTTCGAGCGCTTTACAGCACCCATGGTCACGGGGGGGGGACTGAGATGTTCAACGTCCAGATGTCATAGTTAACAGCGGTTACCATAGATTAAAGTTTTACTTTTGTTCCGATCTACACAGTATGAACTTATGGTATCTTGAAGTCTTGCAGTTGTATGCTTGGGTTGGGATTTAATATAATATAAATTAAATACATAATCCATACTAATATTATGCATACTAATATTATAAATGCGAAAGTGTGTTTCTTTGTTTGTCCTTCTTTCACGTCGCAACAGAGCATCGGCATGGCATGATTTATTGTATGGGAATACTTCGGTGGCTGCAGAGTGACATAGGTTACTTTTTTCCGCAAACATCTCATTCCCGTGGAAAAATCGAATATGTTGCAAAATTAAATTCTGCTAGGTGGCGCCACCGTGATTCTACAAGACGGACGATAGTACGATGGACGAATACAGAAGGTCATAATATCTGGATTATTATGTCTTTTTACCAAAATTAATATAAAAAATGTATGGATCTGTATTTTTCCACGCAGGACCGGGAAAAGAGCGATAAAAAACATAAAATTCACCAGCTGATTTTCTTCAAACGTTTTGGAGCATTGTAATTCACAGAATAGGCGATAACCTCGCAGACGATATTAAGTAATCCGTTGATGCTCTGTCTACCCCGCAAGGGTTACAGGCGTGATTATAAGTATGGATCAGAAATACTATCACCACCTGTCACGCTTTCACCCTTAACTATTACTTAACTGTGGTAGAAACAGTTCTTAGTAAGCCTTATTAATATTTATTGAAAGAAAATTAATACAGTTCTTATATGTGGTTATGAATGAATCGGTATTACAATAAGAAAAATTGTGCAAAATTGTAAGAAAAATATTTTTTGAGAGTTCTTATTAACTAACGTATACATAGTTTAAATTGATTCTGCTAGATGTCGTTACTAGGTTTTTAAAACGCGGTAACGAAATGTTTCCTGACATGTACATAACTCCCGCCGCTGAGCCGCGCGTCAACTTATAGTGCATACGGTACCTATACGCTTAAATTGTTTCTATTTCGTAGCTTATTCGACTACCTGCTTTCGATTTCGGTTGTTTGTTATTTGCTTTGTGATTTGGTTAAGGTTGAATGGATTTATATTGGCTTTCATTTTCGGATTTGTGTAATTTCTTGTATCTTTGGTTGGTATTCCTTTATACATATTTAGACTCCGGCTTTGATTTTGGATTTTGTTTATTTAGAATCGTGAATTGGTTATAGGTTGTTTAACAATATTTCAAAGGAATATTAATAGTATAGATAGTGTATACAGTACCTATACACTTACTTCTTTTTTCTTTGGTTATATTTATATTGAATACTGCTTTCGATTTCGGTTTACTGAGATTTGTTTTGTGATTTGGTTTAAGTTGATTCGATTTTTCTGGCTATCGTTTTCGGATTCGTGTTGTGTCTTGAATTGGTTTTGTTGTTTTGATTTTAAAAAATATTTAAAAGGAATATTTATTCCCTTTAGATATTTTGGATTTGCTTTTAAAAAAAATATTTAAAAGGAAATTTAATTCCTTTTAGGTATTTTAACGTTTTTTTATAAATAAGTTTTTTGTTACTTCACAATGCCTCGCAAACGTAAGTCCAGCCTTTCAAGAGTATCTTCTCAAAGACAAGCGAAAAGATTAGCTCGATCGCTAGAATCTTTAGAAGATGCTGAACTGAGAAGGCAAGAACAAGCAGAGCGTCAGGCTGCTTTTAGAGCATTTGAGACACCTTCTCAACGTCAGCAAAGACGTCTTGAACAGACAGAGCGTCAGGCTGTTTTAAGAGCTTCCGAAACACCTTCTCAAAGTCAGGAAAGTCGGCTTGAACAGGCAAAGCATCAAGCTACTTTGAGAGCTACAGAAACACCTGATCAAAGTCAGCAAAGGCGTCTTGAACAGGCAGAGCGTCAAGCTACTTTGAGAGCTACTGAAACACCTGACCAAAGTCAGCAAAGGCGTCTTGAACAGGCAGAGCGTCAATCTACTTTAAGAGCTACTGAAACACCTACTCAAAGTCAGCAAAAGCGTCTTGAACAGGCAGAGTGTCAAGCTACTTTAAGAGCTACTGAAACACCTGCTCAAAGTCAGCAAAGGTATCTTGAACAGGCAAAGCGTCAAGCTACTTTGAGAGCTACTGAAATACCTGATCAAAGTCAGCAAAGGCGTCTTGAACAGGAAAGGCGTTAATCTACTTTAAGAGCTACTGAAACACCTGCTCAAAGTCAGCAAAAGCTATTCGAACAAGCGGAACATCAGGCCGCCTTAAGAGCCGCGGAAGCACCTGATGAAACTCAACACAGACTCGTTGAGCAAGCTGAACGTCAATCTACTATAAGGGCATCTGAAACACCAGAACAGACACAGGCGCGAAGAGATGCAAATGCACAGCTCCAAGCTGAACGTCGACAAAATTTTCAAAGAAACAATTGGTCGGTTTTTAATGACGCAGCATTCAATTATAATTGGTTGATTGATTATAAGAATCACAGGTTAGTTGTTATCGGACTGATGGACAAGGCGCGTCAATTTTGCGGCGCTTTAAAATGGAAAGATGAGACCGCAGGCATGTGTTGTTCCAATGGCAAAGTGTCTCTTCCGTTACTTGGGGAACCAGAAGAACCTTTGAAAACTCTCTTGTTATATGATGCCAATGAGTCACGGCGCTTCCGGAAATATAACGCATGCTTTCAAATGACGTCCTTCGGAGTTGACCGGGAAATAATAATGCCGGGATTTTCGCCTACATTTACGGTGCAAGGGCAAATTTATCATAGAATAGGTTCACTTTTCCAGCTGAAAAGCTGAACAGCATACATTTTCACACGTATATTTTATGGGTGACGAAGAAATTGAGGTAGACCGTCGCTGCCAATTTATCCAGGGAGTTGAGAGAGACACTGTGTTCAAAATTCAAAGATTCTTGCATGAACGTAACATTTTAATCAAAACATTTAAAACTGCTTTAGAAAACCTACCTGAAGAGGATTATAAAGTCGTCATTCACGAAGATCGGACCCCTCGAGGAGAGCATGAAAGGCGCTACAATGCACCTTTAATAAACGAAATAGCAGCCGTAATTAGTGGTGATCAATTTTTTTTATGAGACATTGTCTTGCGAGTACGTGATGATACGTTGCAACGGGTAGCCGATATATACAAGTTTTATGACGCTCTGCAATACCCATTGATTTATTGCAAAGGACAAGAGGGTTATCAATTTCAAATTTCACTCATTAACCCGGTCACATTGGAGCCTACTCCGGACAAAAAAGTATCATGTATGGATTTTTGTGCGTATCATATGATGCTGCGAGAAAATGATTTTAACCTCTTAGCCCGGTGTAGACAATTATTTCATCAGTTTTTTGTAGACATGTATGTAAAGGTAGAAAGTGAACGTCTCCGTTATATATCTTTAAATCAAAAAAGCTGCGCGTTGAGAATTATATACATT